TTTATTTGACAGGGAGAGAGACAGAGACAGTACAAGCAGGGGGAGCAGCAGAGGGAGAGGGAGAAGCAGGCTCTCAGCTGAGCAGGGAGCCTGATGCGGGGCTCGATCCCAGAACCCTGGGATCACGACCTGAGCCGAAGGCAGACGCTTAACGGACTGAGCCACCCAGGTGCCCCCCATGCTGTAAATCTTGTGCCAAATTTCAATGTGCGTTATTTTCTACCTGAGGAAATGAGACGGTGCAGTGTTTAAAATCTAGAACGATACTGGGGAGGTGGCATTTTGTTCCCCCTGTGTGTGAAATGTTGGGTCATTTCTACTGCAAGGTGAATCGGAAAGTCTTGGTAGGAATGTGGCTTCCCCCGCCGCTTGGAGGGGAGAGTGTGATTTGTTTGCCAAAGGCCCTGGTAGCCTTCAATCTGTCAAAACGTTGCAAGCTGGGAGCAGTTTGCCAAAGCAAACTATCAAAGTGAAATAACACACGAGTTGCACACACAGAGACACACACATGCTCTCCCATTCCCCAAATATTAATTTCGAGTCGGGTCAGGAGGAGCAAGGATTTGGGCTAGATTGTTGGTGTTTTGAAGTGGTTGTGGGCACAGCTATGGACGACCAATTACATAGGTATGTGTGAGCAGGGTGGGGTGTCCTAAAACAGACTCTACTGAGCAGGGGTGGGAAACTTCCAGCCCTTGGCAGAGGTTCCTCTGGCCCCTGGGGTTGTATATTGCTCTGGCCTGCCGTTATTGCAGCCCAAAGAATAATTTCCCCTCTGGGGGAATTTATTCTATTCCATTCAGAGCAGAGCCCATTTAATAACTAAGAGTTTATTCCAGAATGAATTTTATTGGGTACCCCTATGCATTTTAGTTCCACTAGAAACCAGCTCAGTGAAGAAAAGAAGCATCTGAACATCTAAATATAATTTGTGTTGCATTTTTGCAACAAGAGGCACCAACAAACTTTTTGTTGCCATACCTCGTGTCGATCCGATGAGAATAAATTTTGAGGGCATCACACAGAAATTGAAAAATACAACTGATTTTAGTAAATCCCTCATAAACTAACTTTTAAAAGCTCCCAAAGTGAGTCTGGGCATTTTTGAATCTGTTAATTCGCACTATTTCCATTTATCTTGAAATTTCATAAGTTGTCAGGAGGATGGGACATCTTTCATTAATTCAGTAAATTAAGCTTTTATTATATAGCAGACACTCGCTAGATGCTGGGGAATAAAGTAGGGATAAAACCAACTCCGTGATCTCATGAAGCTTGTAGTCTAGTGGGTGGACGGAGACATTTAAACGAATACTCAGTCTGTGAGATAGTAAGTGCTGTGGAGAAAAAGAAATGGGCTCTTTTGTGCAGGCCGGGGAAGGCTTTATGGAGGTGGGACAGCTTTGGGCAGACACCCGAAAGAGGGGAGGGGACGAGCTATAGAAGTATCTGGGAGTAGACGGGGCAACTTGGAATGCCCTTCCTCTGAGACAGGGGAACACCCAGAATCTTCCCTTCTCTAATCTTCCACTCCCTGTCCTGCCCCAAGTCCCCTGGAATGGTATGGAAGTACAGCCTGGGATGAGTGGTTATACAAAAGTCCTCCTGATTGCATTATAAATACGTGGCTTAGCTGTCTGCCAAGAACTTGGAGGGGCTGAGGTATAACACATTTATGGAGCTGCTGTTTGTTTTTTTAAAAAAACCACTCCAATCTAGTTTTTTTTTTTATATATGAGTAAACAGTGCCAGAATGTGTTATCATGATTCAGAGTTGTAGGCACAGGTTCATGAAAGGCTGTCTTTCACCTTGACTCATTTGAGGGAGGCCGGGCAGGTCATATTATTCCCATTTGACAGATGGGGAAACGGAGGTCCATAGAGGATTTATTTGCACAAGCTCATGTAACTAAGGAGCATAGACTTCCTAGTTGAGATGCACATGCACCTAGGTTTGGAGGACAAACTGGATCCAGTAAGGATTCAGCTAGAACATACCTGTTCTCTTCCCACCACCGTGTTCACACGCACTCCTTTAGATGCCCCTGCCTTGTGGCTGGAGGACATCTTGGGCAGTTTTCTTGTTTGTTGCAGGTTAATGAGCAGTCTTGTTTTCAAGTATCAAAAAGTCCAAAGAAAGGGCACCTGGGTGGCTCAGTCCAACTCTTAAGCGTCTGACTCTTGAATTTGGCTCTGGTCATGATATCGGCTCAGGCCGTGATTTCAGGGTGGTGAGATTGAGCCCCATATCGGGTTCCAAGCTCAGCGGGGAGTCTGCTTGAGATTCTCCCACCTTCTCCCTCTGCGCCTCCCCCTGCTCTCTTTCTCCCTGGAATACATAAACAAATCTTTAAAAAGAAAAGTCCAAAAAAGGTATATGTGTAGGAAGGGAGAGCCTTATTGGTGGAATGCCTGTCCTTTTAGAAGCTTTAGTTTTAGTTTTCCTTCAATAGTTTTTGGTATTCGTCTAAAACATGAGTCACTTCACCATCAGATCCGTGTACCTGTGCACTGGATAGTGCAGAAATAGAACATTTCCATTGTTATAGAAAATTCTATTGGACAGCACTGGCCAGATCCTCAGCAAGTTATAAACCAACTCTTTGATGCTCTTCATGACTAATTTCATATTATATTTTTCTGAATAGATCCCCTGCTTGGAAGGTTTTTGCATATAGATATGCTACATTAAAAAGAAAATCTAGTTAGGAAAAAAAAAAAAAGAAAGTCTCGTCAGATATAAAAATTTTAGTCTCTCATCCAATTGAAAGTGTCTCTCCTCCCCCAGACTGGGAGAGTGGGGCCTCAGACACCTGTAGCAGGAAGAGAGGGTGGGGCTGGTTTCTTCACAGCCCAGTTCTCTGCCCGGCCCCTCCCTCTGCCACTGTTGGGGGCTCCAGGGTGGAGCAGGGGAGAGGAGAGGTAACTGGGCAGAGGGTTTCCATGGGCTTGGTGCCCCTGGTGATCTGGTTGGTATTGCTGATCTTGGGTTGGCAGATGTCTAAGTTCTGCATTCTCTCCTGGGGCACTTTGGGTGGTCCTTAAGAACCTCCCCCTCACTTGGGGTCTCCTGCTACACATCTCTTTATGACCCTCCCCCAAGTCCCATACTCCATGGGTACCCACCACACATCACGTGACCCCAGCAAGCAGCCTTTGATGAGGTCCTTTCCAGACAACCTAAACCCAGCGTTTCATGGTGCCTGCATTCAGTTGACGGGATAAAGCCAGCATCTTCTGTCCCTGCAAGTTCCAGAAATGTAGGCTGTCCCCGCTCCAGCCCTCTCTCTCCACTCTGCCCTCCCAGACACTCCAGCTAGGTTTTGTCCTTTAGCTACTTTTCAGGGGAGAATCTGGCTCGAGTCCTTATATCCCAAACATGGGGGCTCAGATAAAGCTCTCTACATGGTAGTCCTTCTTGCTTGTCTGGGGAGGGACCTCTGACTTTTCTTCTCCTACAGGAGAGGAGGGGGTTGTCCTCAGCACTCCTGCATCTCTCTTCAAAGAAATCCACACAGGGCAAACTTCTCTCATCCTCTGGCCCGCTCCTTGTACAGGCTGGAGGTGGGGAGGGGCGACAACATGGGATGAGGGTGGGGCAGAGGGGGCACCTCCTTTTCTGGTCCTCAATAGAGGGTGCAGCCCTTCCTGTTTGGAATGGGTGTCTATGTACTACCCTTGGGCCTCAGCTTTGGGGCCCCAGCCGCAAGTCTAAGACAGCCTTGGAAAGGATGCATCTGGCACCTCATTACATGTCCCCCTCGCCCCGATTCCTGCCCCATTGCCATCTCTGACCAGTCTGTTCATATCCATTCTGGGTGGTCTGCCAGGGCTTGGCTAATTTTCATACAAAGAGGAGCTTAGGGCGGCATTTAGGATACTTGGAGATGGTAGGAGGCTTTTCTGACTCCACACGCCCTAACCCCCACGTTCAGACAGGTTTCCTCATGTCCACCTCCACACAGTGAGTTCTGCTTGGACTGGAGCAGTGTTTCACATCTCACAATTGTGTTGGAAGCCTTAAAAAAGGGTGAGGACCACCCGGGTCACTCAACTGTCCTCAGGGCTAAACCCTAGAAAAGGATCCAAAAGACAACTAAGTAGGACAAGTGCCCTTTTTGCAGGGATGCTTCAAACAATGGCATTGATGATTTCAAGTCAAGGGACCTTGGGCATTTTAGTTAATTGACAATGTTTGTCTCTCCTCTGACTAACCAGCTGTGTGGGGGTTTCCACCTCTGTCATCCCCAGTGATCCTTCCAGAAGGTGAGGACACTGAGGGTCAGAGACATTAGCTTGCCCAGGATCACCCAGATGGAAATGGTGGAGCTGGGATTCTAGTTTCAATGTGTTCGAATCCAAGGCGTCATCCCTCCCAGCACACCCTGCTGTCTCAGGGCCAGCTGGCTCCTATACCATACCTTCCCTTTATTTGATGACAAGTCCTAATCAGGGCTGGTGACAGTAGGGCTTAACACAGCTAATCCCGCCCATGGAGAACATCTGTGACACGAGAGGGCCAAGAACGGGCAGAGGGAAGCCTCCAAGGGAAGCATGGGGTGTAGGAGAGGAGCTTTCCTGGCCAGGTTCAGAGCCCCACTTTTAGCCGGACCTGACCAGCTCCACTAGGACCAAGCATGCACTAGCACTTTCTCTGTGTCCGTCCTCCCCAAACCTCTGAGCCGGCTTCTGTTGTCGGCCCCCTCTTACCCAGGAGGAGACTGGGGCTCCTGAGGTTACACACCCTGACCTAGAAACCCTGCTGGTGAGTGGTAAAGGGTTTGATCCCAGATCTGCCGCCTGCCTTGGCCAAGCACCCAGCCCTGGGCTGCCTTCCCTGCATTGAGGCTGGCCCTTGGCACCCTGGCTGGGTCACATCCCGGGGAGGGGGTTGGGCTGTTCTCTCCCTTCCAGGGATGAGGCAGAGCTGCTGCCTTTGACTGGGTGCTGTTGCCCGCGACACACTCACGGCCCTGCCTGTTGCTGTTTTTCCTTCTCAGCGTCCTGGGTTCCCTCCTACTGCTTGGACTCCAGCTCGTCTGCCCACAGCCCTCCACTGAACACAGAAAGGTAAGCCATGACCATTCAGAGGCTTTGCTTCTCCACACAAGGGGCTGGGGACACTCCAGGCATCTCCCCGAGTTTGGTTCTCTTTGGAGGGGAGTCACCGCTAATCTTGAGAAGGGAGCACCATTTATAGAATGTTCACCAGTCCTCCTGTCCCTCCTAAGCCCTCGGAGCTTAATAATGAAGCTGGTGCCCAGAGTCAGGGTCCGACCTGAGAGCATCGCTGGTGTTGCTGGCTGTGTCCTTGAGGATGGGACCCCAAGGGAGAGGGCACTGAGGAGACTACCCACCCGGGAGTGGCGGAGCACCAGCCTGGAGCTTTGACCCCCTCTAGGGGCACCTTCAGGGGCCGCAGGTACTGACGGTTACAGAGAGAGCTAGCTAGAGCCTTAGCTGTAGCTATATGCAAGAGGAGCCCCATGGGGAGCCCTGATCTTTGCTAGGAGGATGTAGCCCCAGGCAACCAGCAGCCAGGCAGGGAGGGAGCAGGGAAATTAAGAGCTGGCCCTCTCTTTCCTCCCCTCCTCCATTTCCGCCTGGGGACTCCCTTGAGCTGAGCCCAACCAAAAGAAGAAAAAAATCCCTTGGTCTGGTCCTCAGAGGCCGGCCTCCAAGGCAAGAGGGCTGGATGGAGAAGGGTGGACAGAACATGGGGGTGGGGGACACACGGACAGTATCAACATGCCTCCCTTCAGGCTCTGTGGGTTTTGTAGCAGATGAGCTATTCGCTGCTGCCGAAACAAGCTGAACCAGAACAGGTGCATGATAAATGCTTCCTTAGAAGCAGATGCATGAGGTGACTCTAAGTAGGTCCCGAAAACCCCTTTCTGCTACCTAGGAGCTCCTCCTCTCTGTAAGTCACAAAATGCAGACACTTCTGAGAAGGATGGTAGGTCAGGCGTTCGTATCTGAGTGTGACCGAGTTGGTTGGAAGCTTTCCCGAGAGAGGGATTTCACAGCGGAAATCTGGGAGACAAGGGAGCAGACAAGAGTATGCACAAGGGTTTGCCTGGATGAGATCCCTCTTGCAAGATTCTTAATGCTTTTGTCTGCATCGTCTAACTTCTTTTAGGTCTGTGGCTTATGTTCTGGCTTTGTTTTTCCAGATATGAACTGTATTGTATTGTATGCCCTGCTGGGATGTTAGCGCCACGAAACTGCTGTCTTCCCAGCTCCTGGAAGGCAGCCTGGCATGCTGTAGGTGCTCAATAAAATACTTGTTGAGTGACCAACTGAATGAATGAATGAATGAATAGAAAACCTGGCCAAGGTCTAAGCATCATTTTGTTAGAGTCACTGGAAATTTATACCCCTCTCACTTCGCTGCATTATCCCCATTCATAATTTCAGGAAGTCAGAGAGGACAACTCCTGTAGACTGAATGTTTGTGTCCCCCCCTAAATTCACATGTTGAAACCTCATGTCCGGTATGATGGTATCTGCTAGTGGGGCCTTTGGCAGGTGCTTACATCAGGGGAGAGGAGCCCTGATGAAAGGGATTAGAGCCCTTATTAGAGTCCGGAGAGAGCTTGCTGCCTGCCCTGAGAGGGATGGGGTGGCTGGGTGATGGACATTGGGAGGGTATGTGCTATGGTGAGCGCTGTGAATTGTGTAAGACTGATGAATCACAGACCTGTACCTCTGAAACAAATAATACATTATATGTTTAAAAAAAAAAAGAAGATAGTAGGAAGGGTAAAATGAAGGGGGGAAATCGGAGAGGGAGACGAACCATGAGAGACTATGGACTCTGAGAAACAAACTGAGGGTTCTAGAGGGGAGGGGGTGGGGGGATGAGTTAGCCTGGTGATGGGTATTAAAGAGGGCATGTACTGAATGGAAAAAAAAAAAGAAATCTGCCAGCCAGAAAAGGCACCTTGATCTTGGATTTCTAGCCTCCAGAACGGTGAGAAGTTCTGTTGTTTATAAGCCACCAGTGTCTGGTACTTTCTTTTAGCAGCCCCAACTGACTCTGACAAAAACGGGCACTGGGAAGTGGGGGTGCTGCTCTGACAAATGCATGAGATGGTGGGGGTGGCTTTGGAACCGGGTGGCGGGCAGGGACCGGAAGAACAGGGAGGTGCGTGCTAGGAGGAGCCTACACTGCCACGGGTAGACTTTTCAAGGTGTTTGTGGTGCGAGCTTAGAAAGGGGAGAGGAGGGCTGTAGAGAAAGCCTCATCTGCTCAGAGAACAGTGATCCCGAACAGGAAGGTGCTGGACTGCGGATGGTGAAGGATGGGTCTCAGACTCAGAGAGCGGTGCTCCTGAACAGGAAGGTGCTGGACTGCGGATGGTGAAGGATGGGTCTCAGACAGAAAGGAAGAACATGTTATTGGAAACTGGAGGACAAGCATGCTTGGTATAAAGTGGCAAAAAAACAAAAAAACAAAACTTGGCCAAATCGTGTTCGTGTTCTCGCCTTTGTGGAAGGTAGCACTTGCAAGCGATGAAGTTAGATATTTAGCTGAAGCTATTTCGAAGCAAAATGTGGAAGGAGTGGCCTGGTTTCTCTCGCCTGCTTGTGGTAAAATGTGAGAAAGGAGAAATGACTTAAAGATGGAATTGTTAATTGGAAAGAAAGCAGAGCGTAGAGCTTAAAGATTTGGAAAATTCTCAGCTAATCCATCTTGAAGAGAAAGAGAAAGTCTTCAGGAGAGAACACTAAGGGTGTGGCCAAGAGACCATTTGATAATGAGACTAGTCCACCATCTCACAGAAACCAGGGAATATTTTCCAAGACAATGGGAGAATGCAAAGGAGGGGTTGCTTGTGCCCGACCCTCCAGCTACCACCTCTCTAGGTGGTCTCCACTCTCTCCTCGGCTGCCCCAGGTGCTGCTCCGGCAACCGGGTGAGGCGCGGGCTGTGCCCAGCGAGCTGCAGGGGCGTGGCTGCCTCCATCTTGATTTCAAAGGACCAGGCCTCCCAGCAGAGCCATGATCCCAGGCCCTAACCCTGGAGAGCCACAGAGGGGACAGGGCTGCCCAAAGCTGTGGGGGCAGGGCAACCAGGAGCCTTGGGGCCTCAACCTTACCCAGCAAAGCTGCAGGCAGAAGCACTGTCCCATTGAGTCTGGAGAGCCAGAGCATCAGGCCAAAGAGGATTATTCTTGAGCCTTAAGGTCTAAGGGAATTTGCCCCCTTGGGTTTTGGACTTGCTTGGGACTTGTTACTCCTTTCTTCTTTCCTCTTTCTCCCATCTGGAACGGGACTGCCTGTCCTGTGCCTGTCTCACCGTTGTATTTCAGAGGCACGAAACAGCTTTGATCAGGCAGGTTCACAGTTGGAGAGCAGATTGCCTCAGGATGAATTGTACGAATTTAGGTGATATTTAGATTGGACTTTGGACCTAGACTTTAATGTTGATGCTGGAACCAGTTAAGAATTTGGGGGCTATTCAGACTGAATGAATATATTTTGCATACAAGAAGGACATGAATTTTGGGGGACAAGGGTGGAATATGATTGAATGTGTCCCCCCGCATTTATATGTTGAAACTTAATCCCCAATGTGATGGTATTTGGAGGTGGGGCACTTGGGAGGTGATTTGGTTATGAGGGGATTATTGCCCTAATAAAAGAGATCCTAAAGAAATCTCTGGCCCCCTCTGCTCGGTGAAGGTACAGTGAGAAGCCGGCTGTCTATCAACCGTGAAATTGGCTCTCCCAGACACCAAATCTGCCAGCCCCTTAATCTCGGACATCTGGGCCTCCAGAACTGTGAAACATAAATGTATGTTTTTGATAAGCCCCCTCTCCCCCAATCTATGGGATTTTTGTTATAGTAGCTGGCATGGACTAAGACAACTGTCTTTTCATTATTAAGTTACATTATTTATTACTGTTTAAAAGTATCAGGGTTGTTAATCCTAATAGTTGAATTGTTGACTCTATTGTTGAATGAATTGTTGAACAGTTGAATCAGTTTGCCAGTGTTTTGTTCTTGTTGCTCAAATAGACCATCACAGATGAAAATATTTTATAAATGATCAATTTACTTTGCTATTTCTCTTAATCTTTCAAGTTAGCCTGATGACTGATTATATATATATATATATATATATATAGGATATAGGTTATAGGATATATCTATCTATCTATCCTGAACAAAAGGTTCACAAATAGGTATTGCCTTCATCTTTCTTAAGTATTTGTTCTGAGAAATGAAAGAAAAAAGGCTTATGAGTTACTTTGGAATGTTGAATTTTATTTTATTTATTTTTAAAGATTTTATTTATTTATTTGAGAGAGAGCACGAGTGGGGGGAGGGGCAGAGAGAGGGAGAGAAGCAGACTCCCCACTGACCAGGGAGTCCGATGCAGGGTTCCATCCCAGGACCCCGAGACCATGATCCCAGGACTCTGAGCTGAAGGCAGATGCTTACCCGACCGAGCCACCCAGGCACTCCTGGAATGTTGAATTTTAAAATTGAGCCGAGAGTATCCCATCTTGGCATATGGTATCTCCCCCAAATATTGTTAAGAACTTTGCAGTAGAAAGATACATTAATTTCTTTTTCAAAATCCTTTATAGATTAATTTCCTTGGAGAACATACATTTTAGGACAGCTTTCAAGTATAATTATATGCATTTTGGCTGCCAGAGTCATTGTCATTCACCCTAGAGAAGAAAGGATTCAATACTTTCTTGGGTGTTGAATTTCTCCCTGCTGTTTCATTAGAGCTTTGTGGAACTCTGGCTGTCATCTTGCCTGCTTCTATCCTAAGAATCCTGGCAGAGGTACTGACAATGGTAGCATCCATTTATTTCTGCACCGGGAGAAGTAGGTACTTAGTAAAACAGGGGTCAGAAATGTGTTTTCTGTAAAGGACCAGTTGTGACTATTTTAGGCTTTTCTGGGCTACAAAGTTTCCGTTATAACTACTCAGCTGTGCTTTTGTAGCACAAAGGCAGCCGTAGACAATAGGTAAATGACTGTGCATGACTGTATTCCAATAAAACTTTATTTACAAAAACAGGTGGTTACCTGGATTTGGCCCATG